TCACGGTATATTTAAATGATCTGGATAACGAGAAGAGTTGAAATCCAGGTGATGGTCTTATTTTTATAACCTCACCCACTCTCCATGACGGTTTTTTCTTAAATTACTAAAGGCTCGAAAAATCAATAAATAAATGCACCAGAGACATTAAATTTTACAGCCAGGTTGGTACGACAGTACTTAATTGGAGCCTGTGTCAAAATTGAGTGATGGACGTGGCACTGCCCACATTTGGAGGAAATCACATATCTCAAGGCCTACTTCCAACCAAATTTGATATACAATACATATAACACTATCCTAACATACCCATACGGCGCAAAAAAGAGCAAGAGGAAACTTTAATCACGCCTACTTCCCGTATTACACAATTTTAAATTCCATCTGATTCTTTCCCTAAAAATTGTCAAAATCGGACTACAACTGTTTAATCCCCCTTCTACCGAATATGTGGACTCTAGTTCCTATAATGAACATTTTATCGAAAACATCGGTCAATTTGTGAGATATGTAACTGGAATTCGGAACAAAACCTTTCCTGATAACAGTATGCCAATCTGTCGAAAATGGGTTGAATCAGATGAAGGCTTCCCTTAGCCGCCATATACCTAATATAAAGATTTACGAACTTCTGTTTTACTTTATATCGTATATATTAGCCAATATGTGAGTTATTTAAGTGAACATGAGAGCGTGATTTATTAATAACAATGTATCGTTGCGCCTAAAATGGATAAAACCATGTGAAAATGTGCATTAGCCTCCATATAACTAATATCGCGATTTTCGAACATCCGGCTGACTTTACTGTATGGTTAGTAAGGTATCTTGATGAAACTAAGGGAAACTTCATTGGTATGTGGTATTGCCAAAAATAAAATTTAATTAAATTAGTCTACGAATTACTCCAATTCCCATTTACTACATGTAATTATTGTCGTAGTTCTAATAACGTTCAGTGTGTAAATTCTATATATTTTTAAAGTTGTTTGAAAATATGTTCTCAATATGTATATGTATATTATATATATTAGAGCGCTGTCAAAATTAATGCAATCTGCCGATACCTTTCTCTACCCGCTACTTTAATGAAATCCTATCCTCTGATTGACGTTTTCCACATCAACTCAATATATTAAATTTAGCCTATTAGGTTGAGTTAATATTACATATATGTACATATGTAAGTATCTCAGTCGAAGATGATTGTAATATAATTTTAGCAGACGAGAAGTAAAACATAGCAATATAAAGAGGTCAGACCATGACCTTTAATATAAGTCAAGAAGATATAAACTTTGATTGTAATTTATTCATGATTTTGTCGAATAATGAGTGTAGAATTCTTTCGCAACATTTTAATATAAATATTTGCCACACTTGAAGGTATTTTTCTGGCATTCATCCTTGCAAGTTTCAAGAATATGAAATATTTGGCTACATCCTAACGAACTTAGCCATTCCTTACTTGTTTTCACTTACGTCGAACTTTGTGTCTTAAAAAGTATATTTTTGAAGAAAACCTCAGCTTACCTTGCTGAGCGAACGTACCAAAAGTGGTTTGCACGATTTGAAGTGTTAAATTTTGTATGGAAGGCGAAGTTTGAAGAAGAGGAACTGGCAGAATTACGCGATGAAGAATGTTGCCATACACAAGAAGAGCTCACAGAATCTTTGGCAATCACTCAAACAGCCATTTCAAAATGTAATACATTCAAAAGCAATGAAATTTGAATTAAAGCCAAGAGACGTTGAATGACGATTTTGCATGCCAGAAATATTGCCTAAATACTACAAAAATGCAAAAAAATTATATGTGAAACTAAGCTGGGAAGTTTTGCCTCACCCGCCTTACTGCCCAGACTTTTCCCTTTCCGACTATTATTTCTTCCGGTCGGTGCAGAACGCCATCACTAGAGTACGGTTTACATCAGAACATGGTATCAAAAATTGGATAATTCATTCTTAATCACCAACCACAAATTTGACAGAATGTTGAGAAAATTGTATAGCTTTAGATGGGTAATGCTATGAATAATACTATTCTAACGGGGTTTCCAATACGGATGATATGATTAATAAGTGATGATATGATTTCTAAGTGTCGTTTCGGCCATTTTTAATATGTCATGATCTGTAGTTTTTTTCATTGTATTCTGTAATGTCTACAATTTCATCGTGGAAAGATATACTTAAGAATTGGGTCTGTCTCAAACCACAACCTAGCGGATTTTGAGAAAGGATTTCGGCTTGCATCCGTATGAAATTGTTCTCACTCAAGAACTAAAGCTATTGGACCACCGTAAGTTCTTTGAATCTGCTGATTTCCCCTGGAACAACTTGAAAACAATTACGATTTTTTTAAGAAATCATTTGCTCATTTTCTTCTGAGTGGTCATTATACTACTTCTTGGGGGGTTATTTGAAGTAATTGTTCTTTAGCAATGAACGTGACAAGACATACGACTTGATTTAGTAGAAATAGTACTCGAAAATTGGGTTAATCGAATTCGTTCCTGCAAAAGAAGCCGTGGAGGCCATTTGAATGATGTAATATTCAGAACTTAGCTGTATCGATTGCACTTCACATTAATGAAAAAATTTTTGTTTTTGAAAATACGAATTTTGCACGAATATACAATATATAGTTATAGAACCAAATAATTATATAACTGCTGTGTATCTATGTAAGTACACACGTCCGGGTTCGTTCCGAACTTATGACCGACTGTCACGGCAGAAGTGCCTGGTGTAAATTAATCCTTGTTATATGCGGGTAAAAACTCAACTCTAACTAAGGCTAGTTTTTATCCGAACGGCGCCCATAAAGCAGAAACACCCTTTACTATTATGCCACATAAATGGTCCAACAATGCCACATAAATTATAATTACAAGCAATCTTCTTATGCGAATTGTGTGGCATGGCAATGTCGCACATTTATGAAAGCAATTGAACATTTTACATTTTCAAGTCAAACAAACCGAAGTTTAAGTAATGCATGCAAATGTGTATATGGATGTGTGTGCATCGCCAAATGGCAAAGTATCGGTACAAACAGCGGCGTATCATGGTAATTATGTAAAATAATGTACTTGTATATATGCATATATCTATGTATGTAGGCATGCAACTGTAGATTTAATTGAAATTATGTGGGCTTTAGCTTTATGAAAATACTCAAGAGCAAAGCGTAGAACAAATGAGAAAATACTTACTTGCCACATATGCTTTTAAATTGAAATATTGCACATACATACATACATACATGTAAGAGTGTGTACATATGTACAGTTAAGTGTTTATATCCCAATAGGCATTCATCCCACAGCCGGCATTTTGTCATGAAATGTCCATATGTAACGTATGTATGTATGTATGCACACGAGAGTGTATCGCAACAATCGTACGGCGATCGATCGAACGCGAATGCTTTTAATGGAAGCTTTATGTGTATATGTGGGTAAATACATACATATGTGGACGGACATTGGTTCGGTGATCGACTATCGGCGGATTGGTAAAGGCAAAATGCTGCTAAGCAGCCGGCAAATGACAAACGTCAAGTGGAAACAGATACATTTGAAGGCGATCGCACATTGCGAGTGCTCTGGATCCACAGATTACTTACCAGATATTACTTAAACGAGTTACACACTCGCCGAAAATATACTCATACATTTGTTGGTATTTTAACTATGTAAGTGCACGGTTTTACTTAGGCCAAAGCATTTCTTGCAAATATTGTAGTACACTCTGTTCAATAAGTTCACAATTTCAATTACTTTTCTGAGGTTGTAAATTATATATTTATGCCAGAATATAATATATTTTTAATTATAAGACAACAACAAACTTTCAAATGTGCTAAATTTACCGAGTATACACGGCATTTTAATACCAAAAAATCAAAATTCAACAATAATATCGAGACAATTTTTTTTTTTTTGCTAATGTACACTATAGGGTCCTTAAAACAATATGCAATTAGTACAAAATAATATTGAAAAATCTTATGTAGATTTTACTCTCAAAATATGTTGCACAGAGTATAATAGTTTGGTTCATCTAACGGTGGTTTGTAATACCTAAAACTAACCGAGAAATATATGGAGTTATTTAATATAACATAAATGATCAGAAGAATGAGACGAGTTGTAAGGTCTGTCTGTCCGCGCCAGCGATATATTGAGTAAAAACTGAGATATCTCGATGAAATCATGTTCCTTGGCACTATAATATAAATGAAAACGCCAGAGTGATTAAACTTCACACCTGAGATGGCACTAAAGGGTTTTATAAGAATCAATCTAAAATTTGGACAATGGGTGTAGCACCGCACACTTTTAGGTGAAATTTAATATCTCAACAAATATGAGACCAATTTCAACCAAACAGTGCCATCAAAGTATGCCATGTCTTACTCAAAGAGGACGAAACCGTACCATAAGTTTTCAAGCTCCGAAATACTGAATATGTGGACCACAGCGCCTATATCTGACTTTATACCCAAAATATCGGTTAATCTTTGAGATATGATTGAAAGAGCACTACTCCTGATAATAGTGTACCCTGTGTCAGCTCCTGTTAATTGTTCAGGATACAAAATCAAATTCATTGAAAATTAAATATGCTTGGGGTCAGAGCCTACTGATGTTGGTAGTTTCTCTCTTAACAGCCCTCTCGAAATCGGGAAAATAAAACTAATTTACAATAATGATAGGGTATTTTCCCAAGACGTAAAGGAAATCGAAAGAGAAAACGTGAACCATTGTTGCTATTATTTTGACTGTTACCTGGAGTTATTCGATTACCTAACAATGGGTTCAAATTCACTTAACTTTCTAAAACTTTTCAGGAGAGGACATTATTTGACTGAATGTATGTTCGTTGTTGTAAACACAAATGTAAATGTGTTTGTATGCATATTTATTGTAGTAATTCTTGTTGCTGTTTATTGTCAAAGCAATTTCATACATCTGTGTTTATCCACAAAATAGGTCAAAAGTCTATGACAATTTCCTGAGCTGTTTGATGAAAACTCCCAGACCACTTGACGCAATGTGTTCAGAAACCAACAGCACAAGTTAATGGCTCAGACATGAAGGAAAAGACATTGAAAGATCAAATAATTGTATTGCCGTTGTAATCTTCTGGAGTCTGTAGTCGCATGAAGACGCTGGCACCTCACATGCACACTCGGCTCTTGGGGCAACAAACCGGGTGATGAGCTGCGCTTCGCAACTGAAGTAGAGCAGCAACGACTAAAATGATCGATTCACGCGATCTGAAATTTTTTATGGGTTTCGGAAAAATTGTCTATTAGTGACGCTTCTACATACACTCATTCATACATACAGTACGTGCTTGTATGTGTGCAGGGGCATACATTGTTTTGAACGTCAGCTACGCTGTCTATGGTTTAGCGATTCTCAGACTGTGCGTACACATGAGCTGATAGTCCGACATAAATACGCTCATATGCACACATATAAAACAACACACATGTACGAATATAGAAATTGAATTTGTAAGCTTGTGTATGGTGTGTGTTTGCGATCGCATTGAATTTAATGTAAATTTATAAAACTCTACATTATATACTTATTTTTATTATTTGTTGTTATTACTCTTTCACATAGACAATGACAATTTGGAATGAACTCACTCGTCATTTCCAATTGGAGCTCTCCAGTTGTAGGACCATCGGTTTTCGTTGCTGTTATTCGCAATCCAGCGGTGGTCGCGATCGGAAGCCCTGAAATCGGAATTACTTCTTGTAAGGAAAGAGTGATAAAGGTCAAATTAAAACCAAGCATATGTGGAGCACTCAAAGGATATGAGTTTTTAGTGACAGTACCGGAACACGTGTAAAAGCTGTTTTCGTTTTGCGTTTTAAAAAACCGTTTATAAAATAATAAATTATAACGAAAATAACCAAAATATTATAGCCTACATATCCTTTAACAGTGAAAATATGTGATGCAGCTTTATGTGATATGTTTATATTATATTTTTCTATAAGCATATTGAGTTAAAAATAAATTAATTTATATAAATACGTATAAAATTATTTCAGCTCAAAAAAGTGTATATTTTTTCACACCGTAGTGGAGTGCCAAGCAAACACTAAAGAATTTTACAACAGTGTGTGTGCATAAAGGATAACAATGTTGCCCATTCGTTGGGCTTTCGTCGGCATCGCGCTGTTGATTGCAGCTACAAATGGAGCAACCATAGTAAGTGAAACCCACAACAAAACTATTACAATGTGTAAATTAAAAAAAAATCGAAGAATAATCAGCAAAAATTAACACCTCAAATTAACAAATCTGTAAGTGTGCAAGTGGTGATGTGTACGTGACGAATAAATTAAAAAAAGCAAGAAAAAACGTTGGCTTCGGTTGCTAATACCCTCCAACAAATATAATAGTTTTTCACATAATCTTGATTTGAATGGCAGTTTTAAGCTAAACTAGTCCGATCTGAACAATTTCTTCGGAGATTATAACGTTACCTTGGACCAAAAACTATGCCAAATTTCGTGAAAATATCTTGTGAAATCAAAAAGTTTTCCATCCAAGAATTTCATTTGGATCGGTCAGTTTGTTTGACAGCTATATAATATAGTAGTTAGATATCGACGATTCCGACAAATGACAAACTTCTTGGCTATAAAAGGACTTGTTCAAAATCTCAGATCGATATTTCGTAAACTGAGGGATTTGTTAGCGTTTATACAAATATGGGCGGACATGTCAAAATCGACTCAGCTCGTCAACCTCCTCATTTATATATGATAGTCACCAATGTTTCCTTCTAGGTTTCACAAACTTCGTGACAAACTTAATATATCCTGTTCAGGGTATACAAACGTATGTATCTGCCACGATAACCTGCAGAAAAATTTGTGTCAATAGCGGATATTTATAATAATTAATGTTTATAAAAAAAATAAAAATCTGAAGGCTAGAGAGGTCTTGATTGATCATAATGAACGGTGTTTGCATGTTTAGAATTATATTTTTCTGCAAAGAAATTTTAAGTCCCTGACAGAAAAATTCCTGTACCCCGGGATGGTAACGTATTACATAACTGAGAAGAATTATCTATCGATAATAATTTAATGGTTGAAATGTGTGGTACTGAACGAAATGAAGCAATTAACACATTAGTCAGATACTCGTAGAATTCTTCATCTATCTGTAATAGACCTCAAATAAAAACCTTTACAAAACCTTTTAGTAAACCAAGGTAATCTCTTTTGTAATGAACAATAACAGAATTATATAATTGGAAGTATAATAGATTATATAGAACAGTATAGAATCTAAAAAGTCGGTATAGGCTCTGTTGAACTACGGTTGTTTATTGGTGTAATTAAACACAATGTTGCGTATGTCAAAACACAGTGTTTATATTCTCAATTGCCTTATAGAGGATTCACATATTTAAATTGATTTAATCGGAGTTTGGAAATCTCTACAAAAGGCCTTTTAAATTTCATTGGAGAAGGATATAGTTTCATGCCTCCAGGACAGCTTTTTTCTATAAAACACAACTATATTCTACTTTCGACTCGCTTTTTTATGATTATCATAACATTCCAAAAAAATTCAGCAGTCTATAATTTTTAACTGTTTTTACTTTCGCAACATGTTGTACAGATGATAATAGTTTTGATCACCTAACTGTTGTTTATATCACCTGAAACTGATTGAAATAGATATGGAGTTAAATGTATATAGTATAAACATTATGAGGATGACGAGATGAATTTTGAGCAAGTGATAACTTGAGTAAAAATTGATTTGGGAAAAATACATTAGGGAGGGACATCTATTGCTGAAAAATTTGTTTAAAAGTGGGGTTGGCCCCGCCCTCTAATAAGTTTAAGGTACATATATTATAAACTAAATTCGGATTATAATTCTCTACATAATGGTTTTGTTAAAAACTACTAAAAGTGCAATAAATCTATAAATACCATACGTGCGCCAGAGATATTAAACTTTACACCCGATATGGTACCAAATTGCTTTATAGGAGCCGGTGTCAAATTTGGACAATAGGCGTAGCATCGGTCACATTTAGGTGAAAACCCATATTTCGGGATCTGCTTGACAGCTTACAACCAAACTTGGTAGGTCATATTACGCCGACATTCCCACATTACATTTCGAAATGAGACAAAAACCACGCCTACTTCCCATATAACACAATTATAAATTCTATCTGATTCTTTCACTTTCTAGTACACAATTCAAGAACCAATAACTGTATCTGGATAAAAATTTGCAGAAATAGTGCATTTGGAAATTCGGAGAGAATCCTTTTCTGATAATAGTATGTTTGTATGTCCTTAACCCCCATATACCTAATAGAAAGATTTGCCAACTTCGGGCTGACTTTATATCTCTTATCTTAATAAAATTGAGGGAGTGTGGTTTTCTAATAGCCGTGCATCTTGAAAACTTGCTCTAGTGCCTAAGGATTTTCAGACATGAAGATTAATATAATATAAAGTTTTGCCAACACCTATATGTATTTCACCGGCTTTGATCATCAGGATGACGAGAAAAATTGAAATCCGGGTGACTGTGTGTCCGTCCGTCTGTCCGTGCAAGCCATAACTTGCTTACTAAAATTTGAGATATCTTGATGAAACTGTCCATATATGTTCCTTGACACCCAAAGGCTTTATAAGAGCAGGTGAAACCCTATATCTCAGAAACTACTCCATTGATTTACAACAAATATTCCAATTAGACACTGTGAAAATGGGCGCCCACTTCCCATATAACAAACTTCGAATTCCATCTGATTCTTTCACTTTCACACAGTGTACAAATCAAACATCAATGAAGTTATCAGAATAAAACTTTACTCAAGTAATGTCCTCAAGACATTTCATCTTACGCCAAAAAATCGTCAAAATCGAATTATAACTTTTCAAGGACCAGGAGATCAGTCAATCTGTATTAAATGTTCGGTTACACCCGAACTTAGCCCTTCCTTACTTGTTAAAACATCAAAAATTATATTTCCGTTAATATATACACCCTATGATTTCGCTTTAAGACTGTAAATCATAATACTATTGATTATGCAATCGAAATATTAAGAATCTTATATGCTCACACAAGCATGTATTAAAAAAGAATAATAACTTGTTCATTGAGAATCTGTCGAATCATAAAGATTACCGACTACTGATATCAAAGTACAATAAAGACATAATGAGACAAGGTCAGTGCACAGAGTCAAATTAATGTTTCAACATAACGTGAAATGAGATTCATACTTTCGCATACATATTTAATGGTATAGCATAATATTTCGAAACATTAGTTCCGGCGAGATTGTAGATAAGAATAAAACTTGTAGCAAAGTCTATGAAAAGTTGAGAAAGTTACCATATGTAGTACGTGGGTTGCCTTTTATATTTCGGGACTTGGCAACCCTAGTGTTGTAATCTGGCAACTCAAAACTTTATTGTAAAGTTTGACATTTTTAATGTTATACATACTCAGAACGTTTTGCCTCACGAGCGCAATTTGTGTTGTATACAGTAACTTAAAATATTTATCTTGGCCAAAAAATGGAATGAAATTGGGAACATTTTCGCGCGATTATTTATTACAACTTTCGACGGTTCTTCGAAATACGTCTATGACATCGTGACAGGTGGATTTATATAACTGCATAGGTGGTTCAATATGAGCACTCAAAACATCGATTTGATGAGTCATCCGCTGTATAGTCCTGACTTGGAACCGAAAGAAAACCGAACTCAATCAGGGTAGCAGAAGTGCTTCGACAATTGGCTCAAACACATTCAAAAGTGTATAGATTGGATAATATTTTGAAAAACAATAAATCGATTTTCGATGATTAATATTTGTTTTTGTTCTCTAATCCCGAAATATAAAGGAAACCCTCGGCTGTACTTAACTTAACAGCTATAATTTTCAAGGCTATTACGAAATCTCGTACCAGATTATTTGCGCTGACTTTTTATTTATAATAAATTTACAAAATTGCCATCATCTCGAAAGTTTTTAACATTTCTAAATTTTTCGCAAACTCAATATTTGTGGTTAGGAAAGATACTAAAATGAACCGATAAAATTCTTCAAATTTGTCAGAAATAAAACTGATTATAAAGAAGCCGAGAGCACTGAATAAATTAGACTTGAAATACAGAAATATGTATATAATTCAATTAATTACAATATAAAGTCAACCGAATGAACAAAAATCTTTATTTTGACCAAAGGAGACTGGTAGAAAGTTTGCACTGATTTAATCAATTTTTGAAATTAAATTAAAATATACCTCAGAACCATTTCCAATTAATTCCATTGAGACAACTTATAAATTAACTAATATTAATGACATAAGATCAATTGGAAGAACCAAAAACGTATATTTAGTTGCTATTTTACTTTAAAGAGTATTGATGCAATATATATTTTAAACAGAACTACACAGTTCTCAGTAATTTATGCCAGTTAATTTCATGATTATGATTCAATTATAAAAAGTTGAGTTACTTTGGAACGTGCTTCCCCTTACAAAAAAATTGTTTATCTATAATGTCAAAAAAACTTTTTTTTTGTTTTTCTCATCAATTTTCTGTTTATATTTTCATGATTTTGTATGATTTACAATCTATTCGTATTCAGTTATCACCGAAATAAGACATTTTCAATGCCTCACATTTAGCATATGGAAACTAGAAAATGTAAGGACCAAAAAATGTGTTTGTGAGGAAATAAAACGCTGTGATATTAAACCTATTAAAGACTGAACATTCTTTCTTTCACTATTACTTATTTCGGGACATATCAGTTTTGTGACATTATTGGAGACTGAGTTAAGAAGTTATGTATTTTCCTTTTCGGCGGTGTAGGAGGTCGTGAAATTATACAATAGAAAACCAAAAAATTAATAGAATTTCGAATGATATTTCAATAAAACCACACTCCCTCAATTTTATTAAGATAACTCACATATTTGCCGGGGTATGCGATATGAAGTCCGCCCGAAGTTGGCTAATCTTTTTATTAGGTATATGGGGGCTAAGGACATGCAGACATACTATTATCAGAAAAGGATTCTGTCCGAAGTTCCATAACACAATATATCTCCCAAATTTACCGTTATTTTTGATAAAACGCTCGCAACAGGAACTGGGGTCCACATATTCGGTATCTGGGGGCTTGAACAGTTGTAGTCAAAGGCACTATTTGTGCAAAAATTTTTTCCAGATACAGTGATTGGTTCTTGATTTGTATACGGGAAAGCAAAAGAATCAGATTGAATTTATAATTTTGTTATATGGGACGTAGGCGTGGTTTTTGTCTCATTTCGCACTGTAATGTGGGAGTGTCGGTATTTAACGGTATTTATAGATTTATTGCACCTTTAGTAGTTTTTAACAAAACCATTATGTACAGAATGGGCGAGATTATAATCCGAATTTAGTTTATAATATATGTACCTTAAACTTATTAGAGGGCGGGGCCAACCCCACTTTTAAACAAATTTTTCAGCAATAGATGTCCCTCCCTAATGTATTTTTCCTTAATCAGTTTTTACTCAAGTTATCACTTGCTCAAAATTCATCTCGTCTCGTCATCCTCATAATGTTTATACTATATACATTTAACTCCACATTTATTTCAATCAGTTTTAGGTGATATAAACAACAGTTAGGTGATCAAAACTATTATCCTCTGTAGCAACATGTTGCGAGAGTATAAAAGCATGTCTGAAAGTATTGGGGGATCGGTGCTTAAATTACGGGTTTCCATCTGTTTTCAGATGTCTAAAGAACATTGCTAAGGAAGGAAAAATTGATATTAGATTTGGTGTTTCATGAGACGAGGTTTGATTTTATAACTAATGGAGAGTTGATTCTACCGATCAAGTGGCTGTTAAATGGTCCAGGTACAAGAAATTTAATTAGGTTGAGTATTCAAAATTGTCTTTTGTGATTTTACACAACAAATCAATATACAAATAAAAAGGATTTCCCCCAATTTGAAAGAAAACGTAAGTAATTTTGGTTGTCACAAAAATGAAATGAAAATAAATACTTGAAAGTAGTGCTACGCACAATTAATAGCTTTACTTCTATCTTGCTTTTTTTATGTCATGTCTTGCATAGCTTTATTACGTATTTAACTATAGCATAAAAGTGAAGTTTTTCATTACATCTCTTAGATATACATGTCAGTATTCGCTAAGTTCTTAAAATACATTTTATGCTTATGTTTCAGGCTTCATTAGATGGAAGCGTGGCAGAATCGAATTATGAGGTTGATAACGATCAACTTGATTTGGATAGATCAAAGCGAAGCGGAAGAGGCTAGTAAGTTTCGTCGCCGAGATGTTAAGTAAAATTACGTAATTCTAATTATATTTTTCTTTAAGTATGCGTGGTCAGACCCAATCACAGTATCTGAATTTCGGAAAACCAGAACAAGATGGAAAAGCAGAAGCAGAGGCTAATGAACACGGATCTAGAACAACAGTTTGTATGAACTCCTAAAAACTTGTATTCAGTTACATAAATAATGAGAAAGTTTACACTTTTAGCTGGAAGCCATGGTATGGGACAAGCGCAGAGTCAATTTTCAATGGGAGATTGCAGTGATTGTCCATCAAGTCCCACCTACGGTAAGTAAACAGCACTACTGGTAAATAAAGCCATAGTTTCATAACGCACTTTTTCAATTTAGAATATCCCTCGGGCTCTCCCGATCCGCTCACTTATATTGGTGTTAGTGGTAGGCCAGATGCTTTAAGAAGCATTCCTGGCACTGCAGGTACTGCTGCCATTGGTGGTCCTGGAGCTGCTGGTACATTAAGGCAAGGTGGTGTAACGGCTCCCGGTAGTTTACAGCCTGGTAGCCCTGGAGGACTAGGTGAAAGAGGCTCTGCTGCTGGACCCGGCTCTGGTTACGGTATTGGTATTGCTGGTCAGCCCATTGGACCTGGAGGTGTAAGCGGTATTGGGCGGCAACCTGGCACCGGTTATGGTGTTGGTACTGGTGGTCTACCCGTTGGACCTGGTGGTATCGGACGACAACCTGGTGTTAGTGGTCAACCAACTGGACTTATACCTTCAACGCCGAGCGCAAGTACTGGTATCCAACCAGGTGCGACTTTAAGACCTGGAGCTAGACCCGGAACATCTTATGGACCCAGTACCCTAGGAACTGGTGGAGGACCTCAAGCAGGAGGTATTGTTAGACCAGGTGGACTTCGACCTGGAGCAATTTATGGACAACCAGAGGGCGTGCAGTCAGGTAGTGCTTTGAGGCCAGGTAGTGGATATGGTACTGGATTAATTGGTGGTCCTAGAGCAGAAGGAGTTGGAGTTGGACCTGGTGACAGTAGCGTTGGACAAGCTGGCCTTGGTCGTCAGCAAATTGGTGGTCAAGTTGTACCTGGTGGTGCGTATGCTCCTAGTGGTGGTGTTCAAACTGGTCAACCCGGAACAGGAGTGGTCGGATCAACTGTTGATCAAAGACCAGGAGCACTTGTACAAGGTGGTCCACAAGTAACAGGACAGCCAACTTATACAGGTGTTGCTAGCGGTTTACAACCTGGTCAGACAGGTGGATTATATGGACCACAACCAGGTCATCAACCCGTCCAAACGGGAGGTGTAGTGGGTGGTGGTGCACTGCCTGGTGGTATTTATGGACCTGGTTATACCCCAATTACGGGGTCAAGACCACATGGTGCTGTCAGGCCTGAAGTAGGATACGATGGCGTATATGATACCGGTTATGCGCCAGGAACAGCAGGAGTTCAAACCGGTGGTAGACTTCAACCAAGTGATGTGCAAGCACCAGGAGTTGGTTTTCCCACTGGATCTTATATCTACGGCCCCAGTCCGATTGGTCAAGCACCAGGATCTGGTGAGGGATTGCATATTGGTCAAGCTGGTATCCCTTCTGGAGTAGTAACGAGAGGTCAGCCAACTGGACCAGATGTAAGCACTTATCCAACTGGATCTTATTGGCAGCCTGGAAGTGGAGTATTTGTTACTCCATCTGGACCTAGTGAAGTTTATGCACCAGCTGTCGTTGGAGGTCGTGGAGCCCAGTCTGGTGCAGGATATCAGCCAGGTGTAGGATATCAACAAGGTGCCCAATTACAACCCGGTGCTGGATATCAACCCGGAGCAGGTTTGCAGCCTGGAGCAGGTTTTCAACCCGGTGTAGGTATACAACCAGGTGCTGGACAACAACCCGGAGCAGGTTTGCAACCCGGAGCAGGTTTGCAACCTGGAGCAGGTTTGCAACCTGGAGCAGGTTTTCAACCCGGTGTAGGTGTACAA